GTTTTCGAAATATGTTAGCTAACAGAAAGAGAGAGAATAGAAACGTGCGATATAGGTCGTCGAAAGGAGTCCCGAGTTGATCAGACTCGGAGGAGGCCCAGTCGACGAGGAAGAGAGAGAGATAGAGACGAGAGTGAGAGATGGTTGTTGTCGAGAGACTAGCTGTCAAAAATATGACGCGCTCGCTGGCCCGAAGGGGTAGGTGGCGCGTCACGAGAGGGAGAGAGGTTCGCTCGAGGGATAGACAGGGTATGAGTATCTCGATTGAACGCTGGAGTTTGTACATACAGATCTGGGTTTATATACGGTTCATGGGCGCTATAACAGCTCTAAGGTTCGGGAAGACTCGGGCTAGATACGAGTGAGATAAGAGAAGCTGAGAGATCGAGGAGAGACAATCCCGAAGCACGGAGTCGATCAGGTACGAAGGGAGAGAAGAGAAGTAGCGCGCGACGCGGGCGCTACACGCATGCACCGCCCAAGCGCCGACTGGCGAACTCAAACCCGAAAGCTCCAACCGCCATCGCTCGCTCGCTGAAATCCCCTCACACAACTTCCGACCTCAAGAGGCCCTCTTCTCTATACGCTACGAACACATGCTTCTCCGCATCACTCTGATTCGTTCCTATACTACGTGATGAGACTGGTTCCAGAAGGTAGACAGGTGCGCCTACAGTGCCCTGCAAGCCCGTTGTGTTTCTGATAACCCTATCCCTTGTCTCTTAGACACGCCAACGGTCACTTCAGAAATCAGAGTTCAAGAATGAAACAGATTTATCTGTGAAGGAGGGATTTCTGATTCTGTCCTAGCCAGTGCGAAAAGCCTCCATCATTAATGCACATCATTGAATCCCACAACATGAACATCCTTGCTCTTCCCCCCTCATCCCTTCTGCGTGTGCGACGCGTTCCCCCTCATTATGCATCAGAGAAGGCTTCTTCATCAGTGCTCGCTTCAATCCCAGCTCAGCGAACGAAGTGTCATCTTCATAGTTTCCATCCCGCGTGGTTGTCCTGGGCGCTCCTCGAGGACCATTCGGCTTCTTGTAAGGTATATTTTCTCCTGGCCATTTTTCGTGTGCATGATAAGCGATCCACCCATGCTGTGCGACCATATCGCCGGTATTAGGATCCTCATCGACGTCTACCAGCGTCCTCTTTCCTCGCAGTACTTCTCGGACGATCGCAGCATCTGGAGCATCGATGGTTGGGTTGTGACGGTGTTCTGTGGCTGATGACAAGCTTCCCTCGCCCCTTTGCCACGAGAGGGAAATCCCTCCTTGGTCGTCTATAGAAGCGTTGTCAAGGGAGGATGTCGGAGTTGACACTGGCACGTCCTCGTCGTCGTGGAATAATCCCTCCCAGCTCCGCCTGGGTTGCATGGAAATTTCTTTAGTGGGGTCCGAAGTCATGGGCAATTGGATGGAGCGTGTCTGTATGTCTGTCTCCGACGACTCTTGAGTCTTTAAGAGCACGGCTTCGCTATTGTATTGCGCTGTATCCCGTCTCGTTCATTATCCCCCGAATGACTCACTACGGTAACTCGGCGCGTCGACCTCTAGTCTCGCGCTGGGCGCCGGGCATCGGGTGTATCACCAGCGCGCACCTAGGAACGGAGACCACTTCTGGAATGCTCTCTCTTTGGTGTGCGGATGCTACATGTATATCTTCATCTCAAATGCCCCCTTTGCCTCCTCCAGTTGTGATCACAGCATCCGCCCTCAACACAGCGTTCCTCCGCTCAGAGAGAGTGCTGTCCACCGGGAGTCGACAGGCCCTGGAGAGGGACGCGGGTCCGTATACATGTCAACGCGACGAACAGTTGAGCAACTATTGATGTCTAGGCGGTTCCGCACACATGTTCCTTCCAATGAAGCCGAAGCGTCAGAGCGTTCCCCAAAAAGGGCTCATTCATGGGGGGAGAGGCTGGCTAGTGACGCGCTGGTCGGGGATACGAACATGGTCGGCGGCTTCAATGCTCGGACTGGGTTTCCTTCTCGCCGGAGCTATGTGCCGTGGACTGCAAGACGGTGCGTCAAGCTCGCATATGAACCGGCGGCCCTACCTCACCTCTTCTTGCAGAACGGAGCGGAAAGCGCATGCTGATGAGGATCAGTCGCAACTTCGCCTTGTGAATGAATGATCAGCAATTCGCTGAATGTACGGGGCCCCTCGAGCCAATGTAAGCCGCTGTTTTCTGGTGCTCTCCTTCATCCCTATAGCTCGACAACGTCGAGAAGGCTCGTATCCTTCTTGTGGCACGATATAACGCCCACAGCAAGCACGAACCAAAGTCGAAAGTCAAGGAGTGGCGCTAAGATCCTGAAACACACTGCAGGTAACGGAGAAAAGAAGGACGTGGCGAGCACGTCTGTGAGCTTGAGCCGACAAACGGTCAGCAGGCAGCAGAACAGGTGATGGGTACGCTCGTTAATGTATGTACGGAGCGCTGGCGAGTGCACACGAGCCTAGACACTTGAGCGGTGTGCTTGCCGCCCAGAGTATGTAGGTGAGCACCTTCACATTTCTCGAACATACGGGCAGGCATACAACGTTGTGAACAGAATCGACTTTCTACGCCGAACGACGCGGATTTGACTCTAATGACCCTAACATTTCCTGTGCATTTGTCGCTCGTGCTGACATTTACCACTACTTCTCGCAGGACCTCCAAGTTGTCCCCGCTTTCAGTCCAGAATTGAAAGACGGCGACATCCTCTGCTCCGCCTCCGCGCTGTATACAGTCGGGTATCCTCCCATCATTGGCAGTCCCCCACTGTGACCAGGATACGCTACAACTGGACTGCCAGGGTGCACGGAATAACCAGCATTATTCTCATACACTGGCGCCTGGGTCGCAATCGCGAGGTTCTGGACGCGGCCTTCTGGACAATGCCTCCTTTTGTACACCTCGTACGCAGCGCGCCGCATCTCCTCCCGTGCCTCTTTTCCACCCTTACAGCTGCACGCCGTAGGCAACTTAAGACAGATCTGGCATCGGATGAAGTCTGGGATGGGCTCTTCGCCGTGACGTTCTACGACTTGATCAGGAGCGCTGAAGCTGGCTATGGACCGCGCGGGGGCAGGGCGCCCGTGAACTGATCCTGGGGAATATACGATGGGAAATCGTGACTGATACGGCGCATGATAAATGGGAGTCAACCCGGGGTGGTCCTGGGAGTAGTTCGCCTGATCAATGGCATAGGGCGTATACTGGCCATGGACGTATGCATCCGGCAAGATGACGCCTACATTGCCCCCTTTGGATGGAGAGGAACAATTGTTCGAGGAAGCGTGAGGCAGCATGCAAGGAGGCGCATGCAGTGGTGGCGAAGACGGGTAGGGAGAAACCGGAAGCTGGAAAGGTGAGCGAGTGCAATCGTAAGGAGATTCTGTCTGAGTCATCGTGCGAGTCGTCCAGATGCTATCGAGAAAAGTGCTGAAGGATGTAGCTCTCTCTTCTTCAAGGGAAAGGGGGTTGAGAGGGAGGTTTGTAGACTCGAACGTTGGAAAGAGTCTCTCGTTTTATACTCCCCTTGCATTCGTGCTTTCTCCATCTCGATATCTCGGAGGCTGGATGTCACGATTGCAGGATGATGCACTATGCACAGACCTGTCAGCCGCATACAATTGTCAAGCTCGGGGGACGAGCACGGTTGCTTGCCCGTCTCAGTCTTCCTCGGTTCATTCTGATCAACAATGGCTACATCAGACATTTCTTGTAAAATAGAACGGTGCCATACGAGATACCGAATGTCATCCATAATACCACGTCCGTCAAAGCCACTGCCAGAGGCACTGCACTCCCCTCGGTTGTTGACAGATCTCGCGTAGAACATTTTTGATGAGGTTCTTGCAGTCTCAGCTCCGGGAACAGCGTTCTCTCCAGCGAACCTTCGGGGATGGAGAACAGTGGAGAGCTCTCAGATGGAGAGGCCACTCATACAGTAAGCCAGACCATATACCATGCTCTCTTGCTTGGCCTAAGGATGACTCGTGTTGAACTTGGACTTATCCGGTCCGGACTACACGAGGCTATGCGTCTCCTAGCGCTTAGCTGTAGTCGCTTATATAGTATGTTACCATATTTGGGACTCTCTGCTCGTGTACTATAGCTATGCTTCCGGACTCTTCTGGTACTGTCTAGGACAATCCGTACTACTCCAGAACGGTCTAGACAGGTCTATGCCTTACTCATCTCTTACTCATCCTATGGTGCGATACGTCGCAATTCTTTCACCATCGTATTATTCATCGCACTATGGTACATGTGACTAACCACTCTT